AGCTTTTTGAAACTATTTATTAGGTTTTGAAATTTGAATGCTCATACCTCTTGGATATAGTTCAACTATAGCCAACGCCTGAGTACTTATTTTAGTACTTGTACCTTTAAAAATAAGACGACTTTATTTGACTTTATTAATTTAATTCAAAACAGTGCTTTTACAATAATTAAGCTCTGCAAAACATCGTATAAGAGATACGCAATAAGCATCTCTCTTTGCATTGCGATTGTTCCTGCAAGCTACTTTAACTATCTTTTACATCTTTGTCTTAACCTTTATGCGGGGACTTGCTAGCAACCATTCTACTACTTTGACCACCGTGAGGTACGCGACGGCCATCCTTTAAAGATCCTTTATTGACAGTGGGCGCAGGTCGGCTACTTAGTGGGTAAAACAAGTGCTTGAATGTTCTGTTCCCTTGGGCCGTTAGCTAGATCTCAAAACTTTCGTCATAATTTGTACTCCTCTTTGACGGAGCGAAGATTGCTTTTTGTCCCTAAACTGTCATGGCAAAGCCGCCAAAAAAAGTCGGTCCTATATAAAATTAGCGTCAGACGAAGCATTAGTCCTTACGGTTTCCAGATGGTTTCCATCTATCGAAGGTTATTGGTTTCTATCCGAAAATAAAACGCTGTATGCAAGTAGACTTATTTTGATAGGGGCATGTCTCCCTCTATTCTGCTAAGGCGTCAACTTTGGTTTCGGTGAACTAACTTTAACATTTTCTACCTGAAATCAATTATGACACTAACAGCAAATTAGCTCCAGTGCAGCGTGATTATGGTACCTTCCTGATTTAGGCTACGCGTCGAGAGGTCTACGGTACTTCGGAGAGCCGCAGGTGGTGTGACGCCACGTATCAAAAGATACACCTTCAAACTTGGTAAAACCTCGACGGTTATATTAGTTCTGAGGCAGGAGCTATCTTTTTGTACCTTCGAATGAAACATTATGGTTAATAATCTGCCTTGAGCCTGATGCCTTCGGATTCATTAACCAGACTTGGTTCATCACGAATTCATTCAGGGTAACTTTTGTTGCTTCGAAACCAAGAGGCTCATTAACCTTGCGGAATTAGAAGCTTGCACTGTGTATACTGATATTGCATTTCGAAGCAGTTCATTGTAATACGCCTAGAAATATTATGGAAAGTCTGTGGTGAAACGTGGTGCATACATGCTAAGTTATACAAAAAACCACCGTCGTAGGAGTGATTAGTTGCGGACGAAAGCCATGCGGAAAGGACTGTATAATGAGTGATTACAATAACACTATGCTTTGTCCCGAAGCCGCTAAAACGATCACATAAAGTAACATAAAGTTTGACTAAAAAAAAGAACGAGCTTTGTGCTAGGGTTGAACTAGTGCTTGTAGGGGTATATATATAGTACTATTAGCTAGCAACACTAATCATAACAGAACTCATAGTACATATTAATTAAGATACAAAGCAACAAGCACCATAACGCGCCGGCCAGACCACAGAAAGTACGTTAATTAGCCAACTTTCTATGGCTGTTCCTGCTACTTCGGAGCAAGCTTAGCACGCTAGCTTTCATCTCTCATTAGTTAGTTCTTTCCTTCGTGGCTTTCGGTCGAACCTAATCACTCGGACGACAGGTAGTGTATTAATCAACTTTGCTCAAGTCACCAAGTTTTCACAAAAGAATCCTCGAGATTTCCCATAGTGTTTGGTGCGATAGCTCTAGAGAAAGTAGTAGCCTGGTTTGTGGTCAACTTAAAGAATTTAGTAGTTAGATTAAGATAGATACAGGCTCTGATAAAAACTATGTTAGTTCAAATTGGGTGAGAGAGCGAAAGATATATATGCTAGCTGTGAAGCGTCTTATTCAGTTTTTGGAGGTTAAAAACACGAAAACCGCTTACGTTAACTAGCGTGGATTTACTGCTTGCCAACAATTTCTGGGATCTGGGCTTTCTGTTAGCGAACTTAAAGGAATCTCTGCGACCCCATATTTAAGAAGAGATTGAGAATCTTATTGAGAAGGAATCGGTCTTTTAATTATAAAAAGGTTAAAGGCAGCGTCCTTGAGGATGAGAGTGAGCTGGGTTGCGAACAAGACATTGTTACCGTGAAGGATTATAACAGGACTTGTAAAAAGAACATTAGCCTGTGAACTGGGTTTATCTTCCTCCAGTGAGGCGTCTATCTTATATCTATTTTCTGCTTGAAGGAGGGCGATTATGGAGTGTTTGTAATCTATTTCCTCTTGATTACTGCTTTAGTGTTTTCCAGTTATACCCTATCTTATTTAAATTTATCGCTAGAGTTATATCAGAGTACGATAGTTTTACTGACTTCTTTAAAAAGTCCCATCTAGCCTTTAGTTTTTTGATGGTAAATTGTTCTACAATTTAATAACTAAGATGATCTAGTTTGTTTGAAAAGGTTTTTATGCTTTCTTCTTAGTTAGTTAAAAATATTTTGTTATATTGCTCATGAATGTGGACATAGATTTTTTATCCAATGAATGACTTCTTCAGGTTCCAGCCCCACGAGTTTAGGAATACGGTATATTAATATCGTATACTCTTCGTGAAATTTTGTATACCAGTGCTGGTTTGTAAATATTGTTCAAAGAATCGAAAATTGACTCCTCTACCTCTTTTATTAATTAATTAATCCCTGTATATACCATTGATTCTCATTTCATTTATGAGCCACTGTCTTAGTTGAGATTCTTCTCTTTGAAGATTTCAATCCCATGTGGTAGTGTTTTAATTTATAAAAGAATATAAATTTGTAAATAAAAACATGCAAAAATGATATGATAATAAATAATATAATTAGGCTTGTCAGTTAACGTCTAGTTTGCAAGAAAGTAACAAAGTCAGTGGTGAGCAGCTTAGTATAGGGATTTATAACCTAAGATGGAAGTTAGAGTAGAAAAGGGTTACGCGGTTAAAATTACTTAAAGTAACATAAAAAAAAAGAGCTTTTTTTTAATATGGGGTAAATATGAGATCAAGCATCCGTAGAAAAAAAAAAGTGATTATTGGAGGGTTAGAAGTTGCTGGAGTTGGGTTTGTTGGAATTTTTTATTGATAACAAGTGGAATCACGGCCATGTGGTAGTTGAAAAAAAAAACCGAATACAACTATGCTAACCGGGAAGAGTAAGAACATGAACCGGTAAAGTATGAGTAGGTGTGATGCCCTTAAGGTTTGAATAAGCAATATGTGGTAAAAAGAAATCTGTGGCGTGCCCAAGAGCGTTTATTTAACCTGAAGGCGAGAGGCGATAAAATATTTACTACTTTGGACAGTGCCAAGGATTTTTACCTAAGATTTATACTTCGCGACTTAAGAAATACATTGCATCCACTAGGGCAAACTGCCAAAGGGTTCACTGGGCCTTTGAGTATTAAAGGTCTGTGAATTGATCACAGTGGGCTTACGTAAGATGTTTTTGTGGTTGATTGCTTGGTGAGTAACAGAGACGGTTTAAACCATTATTGCAATCTAGTTAGGTGGATAGAAAGGTACGAGGAGTATTATGTAAAGGTAAGATTAAGAGTTAATGCAATTTTCTGAAAGGATCGGTTAAGTGACTAAAAAGAAAATTAACTGACTAGGGTGGGAAACTGTCCACGTTCGCGTGCAGAATTTTCTCAGAATGAAAAAACCAAAGACTAAAAAGGGAGTTATCAAGTTTCTGCAGATCCTAAGTATTGGAACACATAGTTTCTCAAAAACAATTATTTTATAGTCATTAAATAGTTTGCTTAAGAAGGACGTAAAATTTAAGTGGACTAAAAGTCAGGGGAAAGCAAGGAGCATGATTATGGATGTGATTAGAAATAATTCCTGTAGAGCTTATTAACACCAACTTTTTTTTTTTAAGTCGCACGCTAGCGTTAATGGAATGGGAAACACCCATTATCTGCGCAATGAAGGCCGAGAATTTTACATGACCTTGGTGGAGTTACTCAAAGGAAGCATAGTATCACGGATAGGAGGCACTAACTGTGGCTTGGTGTGCAAATAAGCTTGTGAAGCATATAAAATTACAATTTAGAAGCTGAATGTAATTACTGCTCCCAAGAGCCTTCTAGGTTTACTTAAAACTGATTTGTAAAAGCATTGTGCGAAAGAAGAGTGTGCATATAGAATACAGCGAATAATGATAAACATTATTGGTCGCCTCACTATAAACCTAGAATTCGATTCTAGTGGCTGATCATCTCTAGCTTAATAACATCTTTGCCGAGCGAAGTGGTTTCTACGCGCTCACCTTACTAATTTAATACATTAACCTTTCCTTTTACTTTAAATCCATATTTAAATTAATTAGCCCACTCTTTAAAGGTATTATCAAAACCAAATTGTTTTGAATATACCTCCCTTTAGTCCAGGGCAATATTTTACAAGATTTAGACAGATAAGCTGCCTGTAGAAGTTGTTTATTTAACTTTTTTATTTCTTTCCCTTCTTCTAAATGTGTCTTTTAAATGGATATTAAACCCACCCACTCAAAATTGTAGCTGAAATTTATCAAAATTAAAGCAAAGATGTTTCGAGATTGTCAGTATCGAGGTCCCCACCAATAAGCCTTCTTTCTTCTTCCCCATCCCCAAGTTGCTCTTTATATTTTGGTTATTTAACTTTCAAATTACTTACTACTTAGTATAAAGAAAATCTTTTACGCGGAGAATCCTCCGAGGTAAAGAAAACCTTTTGTAGTTTTGGTACCTTTCAATTTTTTGTTGCTTTCAGTATTTTTTAAAATTAAGTTAAAAGATTGTGTGGTAAACACATCCCCTATTTTAGTTAGCAATGCAGCTTATTTGATAGGCTAAATTTTGAAAACGCCATTATAATCGATGGGGTGGGTTTTACTTGCTGAACAGAGAAATTTTTTGGAGCAACCCTAGCAAAAGTAATTTCAATATGCTCTATTAATTTTTTATCATGGTTGTCTGAGTTTAAAGAGATAAATGTATTATTAATTTCAAAATAAATATACAGGTACTCATTATTTAAAACGGAGCTTTGTCAAGAAAAACAAAGTATACAGAAATGGTCTTAATAATCTTTTTTTTTAAATGTAAAAGATTTATGGTTACCAATTAAACAAAACGTCTTTTTGGTAATATCATTTAAAAACACTTTTTTCTCCAATTTTCTAAAAGGTTAAGAGAAATAAATTGTCTATGTTGAAACCTTTTAATGAGGCCAGAGAGCTCTATGGAAGAAAATCATTGTCCGACCCCTTTTTGGTAGAAACACTATAATAATGATTTTTATATGAGTAATACATGTTACGACTATTAGGGTAAAAAAAGCTACTCATAGCCCCTACCAAGAATTTTTTACTGCCTCAGCCAGCACCTCCGCCTTACAAAAGTAAAAATAAGATTCCGGTATTCTTTTTATTAAGTAATGAAAACAGTCTAGGGCTTGCCAGGTCTAAATTCCGTTCTATACTCATTAGTGGACTTTAAGTCCTTCAAATTATTTAAAAATAATATTTTGTTTATAATAAATCACTGAGGAGCAGAGTACCTAAATAACATGCGACTCTCTTCTATACTGCTTAAAAAAGTATTTTGTTACTATAGCAATTGACTTTACCGCCTGCCATGTCGTGAAAGCAAAGTTTATTTTTTTATAATAGTTCTTAAACTGAGGTTAGAAGCAGTTTGGAAAAAAATAATTGAAATTATGACGCATATTTGCTTATGAATAAGCCCTCAACAATGAAAATTACTTCATCTTTGACTCCATAAATTTTGAAGGAAAAAAAAAAAAAATCCAAAATTAGTCACTTAAAGCTTGAAAAGTAGAATTGCGTTTAACTCTTCTTATAGTTTTCAACTCTTTAGTAAAACTTAAACGTTTTTTATTATCAGAGCTTAAAAAAAACCAATTAGTTTCTTTTCTAGCAAAGTTACTAAAATTTTTAAACACAACTTTTACATATTTTTTTTCTTAAATTTTTTGGAGTCCAACAACAATAATCATGCCTTTTGCTGTTTTAATTTAAAAATGCTCAACGACCATAATTGCAATTTTTTTGTATTCCACAAAAAGATGGAACAAATCTTCAAATTCGTTATCAAAGAGCGGGTCCATTTTCCTGCATACATAAAAGATTTAAGCAACCCAGCTCGTAAAAGTTTTTGCCAGCAAACAAAAAGCCAACTCTTTAAATTTATAATTTTATAAACAATTTCCACTATTCCAGTTCAGTTTTTTAAGGCTCTTTGTAAAAGTACTGCGTTATATCAAAAAGTACTAACTTCAGTTTTTCAAAATTAAACACTTTAATAATGGCCGTCAATATTTAATATATGGCTGTATTTAAAGTTATAATATACTTTGTTTAATATAACGCTGCCTGGTTCTACTCTTTAAAGATTTTCTATTTTCGGTAAAATCGTTTTTGAAAAATAATACTTTTTAAAGTGTCTTGAGTAATAAAGGATTTCTAAAATATAAAAAGTAACACAAACAGTTTTAATTTTTCTAAAAATACCATTTAACGAAAACTTTAGTTAAATAAATGCTGTAGTTACCTTTAACGCGCGTTCGGAAATAATAATAACGGCTATACTTTCAATTTGAATAGCGTAAATATTTTAAACAAATAACTTAAACTGATAGGTAAAATTAATGTCTAGAATAGCAGAAATAACAGTAAAATATTAAAACTTTCCTCATTTTTCAAAAAAAAAAACTTTCAATGGAAAATGGCACAAGTTTAAGAACTATTGATTTGTGGAAATTGCAATCTTTCCTCAATTCTAAATACTTCCAAGTTTAATTCATTGCAAGGCTGAAAAATTGGTTTAAAAAAAGGAGTACGCTTAATTCCCAAAAATTTACAAATATATAAAGATTGTGAAACCCTTTTTATAATATATAACCGCAATATTAGTAAAAATCTGAATCAAAAATTATTAAAGGTTAAGCAAACAATAATATGGAAACAAAAAAAAAAATTTAAAGATAAGACGTGTACTTAAATCCGAGGAAAATGATAAAGGCTTCAACCTTATTAGCAAGAATGTACGCCAAAAAATACCAACTTTCGCTGGCAATATGTAAGAGCAACGCTTAGGCATTTATTGTGATTTAAATGTTTTGTTACGTAAATGTCACGACGTAACATTATTGTTAACGATAAAGTGCATGTATAACATCTAATGTTTTTTAATTTTAGAGTAAAAATTGTTTTTTTTCCTTTATGGTGCTACGCATTAGGTTTTCCTAATTTTGAACTTTCTACGGGCTGTGCAGTTAGAGCCAGTGTTGGTATCGTTATAAACTGCCGGTTTCAGATAAAGTCACGTGCGCATCCGCAATTGAATAATATAAGACCCTTCAGGAAGAGCCTTGGCGTACGCATCTACTGCCTGGGCCTACGGCTCACTGGCAACAGTCTCTTCGCTTCAAGTGAAACATAACAAGCTGCTACGCCTTATGACGGTGCCAAGGTTTGTTTGCAACGATGGCTTATGTCAAGACCTTTAGATTGAACCTCTGGGTAACGTTTTTTCGACGCAATACTATCGCCACCTACGAGAGGCTCAATCAGCACACCAAACGATTACTGACAGATGAGGTCAACTACGAAATCTAACCCGGAGCACGCTACCGCCGACCGCGCAATAGCTAGAATTATTTTCAAATATATATATGTGAGTGGTGCTTTAACACAAGCTTAAAGCTAATGGTGTACCCTATCACCCAGCTGGGAGCTCGTAAAATCGGTGTTTCCTTTTATGAACTGATCTAGCACCAGGGAATATCATAAATAATAAAAAAAAGGGCAGGCTTTTTTTTTGTCCTCAGGAGGGCGTGGATAGCTGTTCCACACTCTATTAAAACGTCTTATTTTATATCTTTATTAATTACTGTTTCATACCGCGTGTAAAATCATACTAATGACCCCGCCATATAGGTGTTATATTTCCCGCCACGTCAAGTGGACGCCCACTTAGGGGACAGAAAATCATTTTTTCAGGTTTCAAAACTCAGCACACCCCTCCCTACCTTACTAAATGGTTTTCACTTTCATATATTATCATTTAATTCTAATTTCATTTCTTACATTTTTCAAAATTTAGTGAATAAGAATTTTTCTAATGCGCCGGACTTGAACCGTAGAGCATAAAACTCTTAATCTGTTAAATATTTTAAAAATTACACTAACTTAAACGACCTCAAAATAAAAATTAAAAAAAAAAACACGTGAGCAAGAGGGAGAAGCAAAACGAGATAGATTAAAATTTTTTATGCTTCACGAGATTAGTCACATGCACTGAGAAATTTATAAAAGTTTGTGGTTCTACTTTATCGATTTAATCTAGACCCCCTCTTTGCAATTTTTTTGCAGAATTCTGTTGTACTGTCAACTTTCATTGACAAAGCCTTGTCCACAAAGAGAATCCAAAAATGTCGAATCTTATTGAAACTTAATACAATCTTACTAAATAGAAACCTGTGGAACAATTACAATATATTTGAAAAATAAACAAGAACCTTTTTGTTAAACCTTGATGAAAATTAAGGCAATCTGATTAAATAAGACACCTGTGGTACACTTGCAAATTGACTTGAAAAAATGAAGAAAAAAAAGTTAAGTTTATATATTTATAGACTTTGGAGTAGAAACTTTAAGTATAGGGTTACGAATTTTATCACACGTTTACTAACTGATTTATCAAAGTTTATTATAAGAACTACGAAGATTCATCAAAACTGCGTGCTCTAATTACATTGTTAAATTGTATACATTGACTAAGAAAAATCATTTATAGGACAGCAAACATCTATCCAATGATGGAACAAAGGACAGTTTTGAAAAAGTTGTCGGGAACACTAAGTTATTCAGAAGAAAAGTGTAAAATTTCGCTACATAACAGGCTAAGCTCTGTTACCAAGCCTTTAACCCTTGTCTGAATGAACTATTTATATTCCACCAACGGATAAGGTGTTTCTGGTAGGCTATTTGTTAGATCATGATAAACCTGTTTTTTTTTCAGTTTTTACTATACTTATTCCAAGTCTTAAAATAAACCAAGAAAAACAACAACTTTATCTGTAACTTTTTATTTTAAGTAATTTTTACATTATTTATCTACTAGGGTCCTTAGAGAATGTTCGTCGACTACACTATATTTGCATGTGTCGCAACGTTACTTCTACATTCTTAATTGTTATAGTACAGGTGTACACCTTACCTTTTTAGTGTTTCTTCGTCTCTTGGTTCGCCTTCTTCTATTAATGGGGTGTTTGCAAATTGGTTCGTTTGTCGACCGGCAGTTTTTTTGCGTCGTTCAATATGTGGAGAAATTAGAATTATTGCAATTTCCTTTAAAAAAAAAAATTCTTTTTTCATGTTTATTACATGCCCAGCAAGTATGTAATTTTGTCCAAACTACCCAAACTGCAGTACCGCAGCTGTCCAGAATTTTTTATAATAAAAAGGAAAAAGGCCAATGATTTGTTTTTTTCTCTTAGACATAAACTCCTACACTACTTGGTTTAAGGCATTCACCCCTCCTCTCTTTATATTTCTAAAGGGTTTCCACCTTGTAACTAATTTTGTTGCTCGGATGAATTTATAGCAAGGGCTTTGTTACTTTTGCTCTTGACTGTTTTACTTAACTCTCAGGTTGTTTCCTATTTGTTTTTAATTGCTTTTTTCTTATTTTCTGCTTATTTTTTTTTAATTTTTAGTTTGCTTTACTATTTTTATCAAGTTCTGAATTTCTACTACTCTAACTGCTGCTACTTTCGAGCTTTTTATCTCCATAGCACGATTATAATCTTTACTTTGGTTATAACACCTTTGGCTGCATTATCATTTAGTATAATTACTGTTTTTATTAAACATGATGCTATTGCCGGGGCGATATGCATGGTGGAAAGAAGTCTTACAACTTTCCTTTTTTAGGCACGTAAGAAGTTAATGACTTCTTTAAACTTAATATAGAAAAATTTTCTTCTCCACTGCATCTCATATTTTTTACCAACCCCAGTATTAGTACTTTTGATAATAACGACGAAGCTTACTCAATATTAGCAACGTAAATATTACAAGTTACATTGCGATTTGTATGATAATATGGTTCTGGAAGTTTTGAAACCAAGCTGGCAGCTTCTCCGTGTCCCTTTCGCTCCTTTCCTACATGTGAAAAAAAATTTATATCGCATAGTCACCATATTTTCAGGCCACTTCTTTGACTTAGCAGGCACGTATTGTCTAAATTACAGTTACCACGAAAAGGTACCGCCTGCTCGTCAGCAGATAAGTTACTATCAGGAATGAAATTTCTTGGAATTGCATACCATCTAATCCAATAAACTACGCATAGGAGCTAACCTTTTTTAACGGGTCTGATAAACATTAAACGATTTTTAAACGACAAAGCCCCATTTTAGTGGGAAAAATCGGAGAACCGAAGATAAGGTATCACAAAATCTCTTAACTTGATTGGTAAGTTTTAGGTTTCCTATAGTAATAAGTATTTTAAATGCTCGGGTTCCACAGTACCACAAAATTCTCACGGTCGTTTGAAACTGTAGAGACTGAAAACCCTGCAAAGCCTTTTGGTTAGTAAACAAGTAAAAACAAATGAACAATTTGTTGTAGGATAATATTTCTTCCAAAAGGAAGAACAACTTTCTTTTAAGTAACTTTTAAAATATTACGTCACTGGGTTTTTGTTTGAGGGGCGGGTTATAGGACCATGTAGTTCCACCTTTAGCTATCATTATTGTACTTAAATCTATATCATTCTCTTCAGACTTGAAAGCGATTCAATATTCTTCTAACACTTCTGATACTTCTGGCTCATGATAAAGGAGCCCTACAAACGCACCTTTTAATCGGGTAAGTCTTAACCAAAACGTGGTTAAAGAATTTGATTGATCTTAAGACGACGAATTAAAATAAGGCCGGATTGGCTGAAGACTACAAAATTATCCTGAAAAAATGTTGATATTTTCTATCAATTCTATAAAAAAAAAATGTGATACTCCTGAACAAGGAAAAGGAGTTCTTTAATTTCCATATCGAACAGTTGTTACCGCAACATTTACAAAAATCCAATTGCAAAAAAGGTGAAGGGTCTTATTCTTCATAAGCAAATTTACGGAACCAGCTTTATGGAGTCCTCAGGAAATTGCATAACAAATGATAGGTTTCTTAAGAAAAAAGTGGAGTTAGACCGAAAAACTTCTTAACGGAAAAAAAAGGTTTGGAGAAGACAATACAACCCCCTTTTTATTCATCCAAAACCTCTTTGTACCAATAAGCATTCCATAAAATAAAAGTTGGGTGCAGCGAAAGCCAAACGTTGCTGATGTGAAAGGAAAAATTTTCTTGTGAAAGTTTATTAAACGCAATCTCGTAATAAAGAGAAAAAGACACAGGAGTAAACAGATATTATGTTCCTAATAATGATCTTGAAGAGGTTTTGGCACTTTAAACCGTCTCAACCACTTTCCTGAAAAAATTCGAAAATTCCACGATAATAAAAAATTGTTTAAGTGGAATATAGATACAACCAAAGGAATTACCTTAAAAAAATAACTTTAGGAGTTATAATCGATTTAAAGTAATTAATACAGATATTAAAATTATGCTTGTTTAAAAAGTTCTTAGTATTTAATAGTTGTCAAAAACGTGTAAATAGTGAATGTTACTTCACAGTGAACTTATTCTATAAAGAAGGGCTACTTAATTTCTTAAAAGGTAAGGCCCTTAATTTTTATGATAAGTGAAAAGGAAAACAGAAGAATACTAAGTTCATAATACTGGCTATGAGTATATTACTTAAGGAAGCTTCGAGTTAGGCAAAGTTCACAAGAAAAACTTTCTATAACGCGATCCGGATTTTAACCGTTAGTTCCGTGTGTCAGTTACCACCTATAATAGATACCATGATTTCTTAAATTAAAAATTCCACATCAAATATTTAAAATTTTCACGATTTCAAGCAGTTTTTTCGTTAAAATATATACCAATTTGTCAAGAATTAAAAGTTATATTTATGAATTCTTGAATCCAACTTATTATTGTCCAGGCATGTCTGATACATTAAATATTAAAACCTACAACAATAAAGGCAACCTTAGAAAAATTTATATGCCATGTTTAGGATACAAAAACTTTTTTTTCTACATAAAACAAAAAGGGTAAGTAATACATGTAAGCAGGTGCATAATATCCTTTTTTATAGATATTAATTTTCACCCATTGATAACCTTTCCTTGTATTACCCACGAAAAATATGATTATCTTTGAAAATACTTTATAAAGAAACGCGCACCCCCACTTTAGCAGTTAACAATTGACCCATTTAATTTTTATACATCCCGAAAATAGAGTTATAAAATGCAAAAGTATATAAGCGGAATGATAATCTAAAAAAAAACCATGTGCAGTCAAAATGAATGGTTCATTATATTCAAATATTCTTTTACAGAATAACGTTGAAAACAACAAAGAAAAGTCTATCAAGGTCAAAGTTCGCAAAAGAACCAAAATAGCTAATAAACAGCTCGGTAAGTTACCATAAAAAATCCAACTGAGCTGTCCTAACGTTGTTCACGTTGCTCCCTACAGCTGCACTCGTACAGGCTTATAATGAAAACCATATGCCAGACAAAAAAATGAGGAACGCCCTGTCAGAGCTAATTAACTTACCGCCTCGGGTCGTCGATGTTTGGTTCCAAAACCAGAGGGCAATACAAAAGAAAAAGCTGAGGCAAAGCGGAGTTCCGAGTGGGACACTCTATCGCTTTCGCTCATACGAGCCAAAAGGGTATTTAAATTTGAAGCCCACTCAAGAGGAAGTTGCCAAATCGCAAGCGCCGACTCCTTTTTTCAGTGATTTGGATTTTCTCGAACTGCCAGCATTCCGGTAGTTTTTTATTTACAATCATCTGATTTCCTTTTTTGGAATAAAAATTTCCGGGCAATTCACACTATAGAACTACCAACGAAAACTCACTTTTAAACTCTACATTACCTTTTCCACCAATGGACTACTTGAATATAAGTAATCTCGGCGACAATGGCAATTATAGGCCAGCTCCTTGGTTTCCTAACGATTTGGTGGATCAAGTTCTGGACTTAAACTTGGCTTTAACAGATTCGATGTGTTCTTATGACTTATTTCAGAAAAATAAAACTCTTTAATTATTTAGCCAGTTTGCTTTGTTTGTTTCTTTAAGTAAAAAGTCTCATAAGTTTTAAAAAACCACTTGCTATTTTTTTAAAAAAATAAAATCAATAAATTAAATTTTTTTCATCTTTGAAAGTAAACTCAATGTTAAGTCAAAATAAAGATAAGAATTGAACCGCCAGAGGAAATTGCATGCTTTGTAGGTACTTTAAAATTTAAACGCAAAAGAGTTTATAATTATCAATTTTTAGATTAAAGTAAAGAGAAACACTTTTTACTGGATCATTATGATATCGCAACTCTTTACTTTTTATAATAGAATGTCTACTGACCTGCTTGCCGCAGTTAAGAGTTGTTGAACTAATCATCAAAGTCGAAAAAACATCGAAACTTCAAACGATATTTATAAAGATTTTATTTATTATCCTTAAAAAACTTATTGATCTATTACTTATTAAAAAACGTTTATAGGTAAAAACAAACCAAAAAGCTTATAGGAGAAAGTTTCATAACAACGGCCGAAAGAGAAGCCAGGTCCTACATTTAAAGAAAGGTTTTCTGGCCGCAATTTGTATATAATTTCTATTAAAACCTTAATATGCGTAAAACATTTAGTAAAAAAAAACTCTATATAGTATAAATATAAAAATATTATAGTATTTTTAAAACTAATAAAATTTTTCTCAGGGTAGCAGTGTTAAGTATTTTTTATTTTTATCATAAAAAATAGAGTTTAATCTGAATTTTTTGGTAAAATTTTTATTTTTCTTAAAAATTTTAATGGTTTATAATTTTGTATAAAAAGAAAACTTCTATTTATTGGTTCTTGGTTTTTTATTATAAAGTGTTTAATAGATTATAAGAAATAACTACCATTAAAAAATATATTAGTTTTCTTATTATTTATAATTATTTTTTATATTTATAACTAATATTATTATTAGATGGCACTCTTTACTTGCACACTGGAGACTTTCGAGCCAGTTCTTTGCTTAAGCGATATTTTTTAGTATTATTTATAAAAGATTTACTATTTACTTCGTATATTATTATAATTAATATTTACGTGTTATTATTATGATATAAGAATTTTTTACTTTATTATACTTATCTATTATTATTATTTTACTTTTTTTATAAAATGTTTATAAATTATTTCATTATTTTTATGATAAACATATTTTTTGGTATTTTTAAGTTTTTTTTTTAAATAATTATTAATATTACTTTCGTTTATTTTTATTTTTATCATGAATTTTTATTTTGTTTTTAACGTTTTAATTTTTGCTTATTATCATTTTAATGTTTTTTTCATAAATGTTTCCACAAAATTTATTTTTTGGTAAATTACCTGGTGGACAAAATCACTAGCACGTGAGTATCGTATAGTAAGAAATCTGTAATGAGCGCTATTATACTTCTTTTGGAAAAGCAAAGCATTTAGTTTATTTTTTATTGGTTGGCATTCTTTTTAATTAGAAAATACTTAATGATTGGCCAATTTATTATTTTATTTGCCAGTAAAAATGTATGTATAATTTTTTTACTTTTATTGACGTTTTATATTTTTCAAACTTGAATGTTTTTTTTTTTTAAGAATATTAATATTAAAAATTTTAAAAGTTAACAGTTATTATTACAATACTTTTATTAATTAATTTTTTTTAATTTTTTTCATTACGAAGTGAAGAATTAAATATATTATTTATAACTTCTACGCAAATATTTGTTTTTAATATAAATATTTTAGTTATTATCAAATTTCTATTAACTAATTATTATTTTTCTATATTTCACTTTTTTATTATTTATTATAACATGATAAGAAATAAATTTATATGCTCATCAATTTTCTACTATATAATATATAACACGTTTATATGTTTTGTTTATGTTAAGAAGTTAAAAAAAATAATAATTATGTATTTTATATTTTTAAAATATATAATAATACAATAAAATTTTATATGCAATCATATATTTTTATGGTTTTTTATTATAATAAATGTTTTCTGTATTTTTTACATCTATTATAATAATTATTATTGAAACCCAAAGAAAAAATATTCTTTCAGTTGTTACCAAATTTTTTATGTAATTATACTAACTATTATTTATTATTATATTTACATTTATATTATTATTATTATAAAAATTAATATTAATTTCTCAGTATAATTAACTTTTTTTATTATTGTTTTACTATAATTTTTAATATTATCATGTGAAATGATAACTTTTTATTACTTTATTAAAATATTATTATTACTATCAATATTCTATATTTTTTTATTTTATATTGACATTTTGAAAAATAATAAAATAATTCTGTTATCTACTTTTTACTAACTGTAATCTATTTATTTTATTTTTACGTCATAAACTCCATGTGTTCTAATAATCATCAAATTAACCATTTTCGGTTCCGTATTATATTTCATAGATGTATTTTGGTAATTTTTAGCTATTGGGAGGCGAAATTACAGTTATTTTTTTTATTCTTATATATTTTTTCATTGTTATAATTGCGGAAAATAATATTTTTTTTATTAATTCATAATTATTATTATTATTAAATTTTTAATATATAACCATTCTAAAGCAGGAAGCAATTGACGTACTTTATCTGGATACAACTTACTGTCATCCGAAGCACCAGTTTCCTTCGCAGGTCCCATTTATTTTATTATTATTATTAATATTATTATTAATATTATTGTTATTAATATTATTGTTATTAATATTATTGTTATTATTATTATTTTATTATTATTAATTAGTTTTAAAACTTTTAAGTAATTACAGTTTCATATATTTTATTTTTTTATCAATATTATCCATACTAAAGTTTTACTATTGGTTACTACTATTTTTACTATTTTTACTATAAAAGATATATATTAATATTTTCTATTTTACTTATATTATTATTCCTTTTTATTCTCTTTAGTTTATTACTTACCTTTTACTCTTCTTTATTTATAGAAACTTAACTTTTTTGCATATTCCTAATATTTTTTTCCTTTATTATTTCTGTATTATTTTTTACTTAAGAATTCCCTTTTTTTTTTCTATTTTAATAATATTAAGGAAACTGTTCTCGATCTTATCAGTATAATTGTGTCCGAAACATTCACTCTTTACTCTGAAGTTTTGATAGTCATTGGTTGTTATAGTTTAGGAAAAGAAAATATACTGGCTAAAATAATTCAGGTTTTTATTATTATAATTATGGAACTTTACTTTTTTGTCGATTATAAAATTAATAAACTTTTAATAATAACAAATAAAATTTTGTTATTAGGGAACTTTTTTGTTCCGATTCTGGTGTAAATGTAAACTTTTAATAATAATAAAAAATAAATAAATACGTTTCTTTATTAATCTGATTAGCTCGCTACTATGATTGGCTATTTATAATTTTTTTCCGAAACTTTCTTAATAACTTCTATTACTATTATTATCATTATTATGAAACTCCTACTATATTGTATCTATTCTAATATGATAAGGAACTTTTACTATAATAAGAAAGTTTTAATCCGTATATTTAAATCATTTATCTTATTGGCTCGAATATACCTGCTTCTTTTATGATCGGATATATTTTTTATGTATTATTATAACTTTTTTATATTATTTTTTAGTTTTATGTTAGTATTATTATAATGAAACTTTACTTATCCTCGGTGATGAAATTAAAACCAACTTTTAACATTTATAAAAAAATGAACCCTAAATGATTGGCCCGTTAAAATAAGAATTTTTATTAGTTATTTAAATCTGCCTTTTCTGATCGGCTTTATAAAAGCTTTCTTATTATTATTATGGATCTTTGACTTTTTTTGTACTGACTTTGATATTACAATAAACTCAAAGTTATACTGAATAAAAAAAGAAATACTCTTTTCAAAACTTATTAAGGAATAACAGCTGTTCTTTTCTGCTTCCTTTATGATTGGCTTTTTAATTTATACTGGTGAATATTTTTTGGAAACTTTTTTTGTTAATAAAATAAATATAAATGATGAATAAAAAAATTTTGTTTATTTATTAATTTATATTAATAATAAATATAACTTTTTATATTTATTATATATTTTACTAGCAAAACGCCACTTTAAAAATTGCAGTTCCTTTAGCAAAACTAAAACTTTTGGGCGTCACGCACGAACTTTTACTTCCTCATTTTACTACAAATCATTCATCTGCTAAAGTCCATGTATTGAAAATCGGTTCGTCATTTATTTTTATTCTTATTCTTATTATTATTGTAGTCTTCTTCGTGTTCAATACTGCTTTTATATATTAAATTGCTGCAATATCATTTTATCGGGTCCTTTTTTCCTGCGTAGGAAAGATTGGGCAGTTTGTACGTGGTATGTCGAAGTACGAGCCTAATTGGTCGTTTCTTGAGCGGTATCGAAGCCGCTGGAAATTTAAAAAATGTGTTAATATAATTAATAATAATAATATTATTATTATTACTATCACTAAAGTGCTTGCTATTGTGCCTACTGGCTGGACTACGTGTCTTTTTGAAGGGATTAACCAATACGAAACCAATAATTTTCTTTCTTGGGCAATTCTTTTTTTTTTTTTTACTTTTTTTTATTAATATTATTATATCTTTCTTCTGTATTTACTGTAAATATTATCATGTATTATAATATATTTTGTATTTATTATAATTAAAACCATTACTAACTCTACTTTTTATAGAAAAAAGTTTGAAAATATATTTTTTAAAAATATTTTTATTTATAGTTGATTATCACTATTCTTTATTTCTCCGTATATTTATATAAAAGAACTTTTGATATATATTTTTTTTCTTTAACATTTTGCTATTAACAAAATAAATTTTAGATAAAAGAAGGAAAAAATATTTTTAATTCCGAAAAATTATTAGAAAAAGTAAAGTTTTTTGCGCAAAATAAAGGAAATATAACGGTTTTTACTTTTCTTTTATTTATTACTAAAAAGTTTCATTTGTCATTATAAACTTTTATTTGTACTATAAAAGTTTTTCTGGTGAAAAGTTTTTATGAAGTTATTTTTATTTTTTTATTTATTTATACTAATAAACTTTTATACGAAGCAAAATTTTATTTATTATAATTTAAAAGTTTGTTATTCTTTTTAAATTTTTATAAACTATTTATAAAGTTTATAAGATTTACTTTTTATTATTATAAATAGTTAAAAGTTTTTCACTTGTTATTATTACTCAAAAGTTTGTTAATAATATTTTTGTAAATTTTATAATCTTTATTATTTCTACTTATTATTATAATTAAAAATGTTATATTATATTTATTAAGTTTTATTATATTACAGTTGTTATTCTTTTAAAAAAGTTTTTATAGTTTTTATAGTTTTATTTATTATTATTATTGATATTAGAAACTTTATATTTTTCATAATTTTTATCAATATAAATTTTGATTAGCTTAAAATGTATAAAAAGTATAAAAGTTTTACTTATTATTACTAATCAATTATAAACTCTAGATTTTATATTACTTTTATATAAAAAAGTTTTTATTATTAAAAAAATAAGAAAAAGCGTCAAAGATTTTTATTACTATTAATGAAAACTTCTAATAATGTTTTTGGTAATTCATATTGGAATATCTAAATTTGTCTTATTATTGTTATTATATAACTGTAATGAAAAAAATATTTCAAAGTATTGAAAAGTTTACGAATTAAATATAATTTTACTATTATATTAAAAATATATATATTTTTTTCATTTAAATTTAGTTAACTGTAAGTTTATACCTTTTACTATTATTTTTGTTATTATTATAATAAAGTTTATAATTTACTTATTATTATTGTTAACTTAAAAATTTTTTTATTATAATAACTTTTTGAAAATACATAAAAGTATAAATAACTAATAAACTTTTATACTTTTACTATATTTAAAGCACTTTTCCTGGTGATTTTATTATTTCTTTATTTTTATCATTATTTTATTATAAAATATTATTGTTTATTATGTTTTCATATATTATACTATTAAAAATAATTGTATTTTTCTTATTACCGACTTAGAATATTTTTTACTTCTCAGTTATTACATGTTATTTATTTCATTAGTAGTATTGTTTATTTTTTAAATATATTTATTTTTAAAATGTTATACATATCTATAAACCATTATTATTACTATTTATTTATATTATCAATACTTATTATATATTTTTATAGACTTATTATTTTTACTATTGAGGTATTGAATATTCCTTACAGCGAGCATTCCAGCTTTGACGAACTGCTGGACTTTGTTTCTTATATAAAACCAAGAAAAGTTATTCCCACTGTTGTGTCGTATTTTATTATTATTATTATTATTATTATTATTATTATTATTATTATTATTATTATTATTATTATTATTATTATTATTATTATTATTACTATTATTATTATTATCTTTACTATACACTTCTATATTGTAAAAAAAACTTCCTCTCTTTTTTTTCATTAAAAAATTTTAATTAGTTTTTTTGCAATTGGCTAGTTGTTATAAAAGTAATGATATGATTGGCCCGCTGACACCAATAGATGGGTGTGTTAGCCAAGCGACTTTTATTGATGGTGATTATTTACTTTATTAATAGAAAGCGAACGCCGGCGGAGAAAATTACATGTTTTTTTAAAAATTGCATAAATAATAGAAAGTCCCTACGATATGCTTTTAATAAACTTTTTAATATAAATAATAATAACAATAACAATAACCATAATGAAGAGCAAAAAGACTTCCTTCCCACTTGCCCCGGGCTTGGTATTTTCCTTTAGTCGTATAAATTTAAAAATAAATGGAACTTCTAAAAAGTTTTATTATATAAATTACTAATTACTTTTATATTTTATTTATGTTTCATAATACTCTTATTATAGAACTTCCCGTTTGTTATGGTGACCTGAATAATTCAAAGAGAATTAATGATAATAACATTAACAGCAATAGTAACAGTAGTAATAAGCGAGCCAAGCATGAAGTTGAAGCCTCGTCAAGTCCTTCCAGTTCGAAAGTCAAACAAATTATGATTACTTCTTTCTTTTAAATAAATCTACTTAGCCCATTAAGATTTATTTGTTAGAAAACCATTGTAAGCATCAAAGTTTCGTTTAAGAAGTGTAATTCACGGATGGTAGCGGTATATATAGTGTACTGGTAGATACGCTATTCCTAAATCTAAAGGCATTAATATTTCCATTTATAGATATAAGCACTGTTTCCATTCTATAGTTAGCCTAACAATACGCTTCTTTAATGATTTTAACAAATGGTTTTGGAATCAAACAATATTGCTATCTGTCATCACTCATTGCTAAGCCTGGTTTCATGTTTGCTTTCAGAGGACCTTACTTGCACTGAACATGAGCTTAACGTTCGCAACGTAGCATATTCATACCCAAGATTTCACCAAGGGATTCCCACGCTCATCCTCTGCATATTAGATTTAAAACCGTTTTGGAAGGCGATGCCAGTACTCAACGCGAAGTGGTCACCACATGGAAATAGTCGGTTCTATTTGTGTAATATATTATGTTTACGATTTAAAGCCAAACATTAAACAAGTGTTTTATCTTAATGTTACATAGAAGATTTCACCTGCCAATGGGCTAAGCCTGCCTCGAAGTTTTTACCTTTTTTAAGAGCATATCTTTCTATACGTGCAACCCTAGCATAATTTTGATTTAGTTAGCTAGTTATTGCAACTGTAGAACTCACCTAAGCAACGTGCAACCTTGAGCCAGAGCAATCTACAGGAAGGGTACCTATTATCACGTTCCATTAGATTTCGTAGTTAATTCGCTACTAATGTTAGCACAAGAGTTCAAGTGTTATGAGTAAGGTTACTGAAACTGCATAGCGAATTTGACATTCCTTATACACTATTACTATTTATTATTTGCGGTTCACTTGTGTAATTGTTGCTTAGCAAAGTTAAGCACCAAATTTTTTTGGACATAATTATGTATATAAATGATTTTTTAACTATTTAATTTACATTTAAAAAAGTCATTTTAATTTAATCTTTTGACAGATTAATAAATAAATAAAGTTTAAAGAAAAATATTAATTTCACAAATTTGTCAATTAGTTTATTGTTTGGATTAAATCCTAGTAGCTTTAAGGAAAAAATGGTGCAAGTTGCCGTTAACTAAATTAATAAAAAAGAGTAGGGTAAGATTTGTTTTATTATTAAGATTTACGTGAAAAGCTTAACAAAACTATACCTCGAGGGTATAATGACCTTTAATTTACTTTTTATATGGTTTATAAGAACTATAATAAAAAAGGAAAGCACACTTAAATTGGACAGACTATATTTATATATAACTTTTTTTTTATAATTTGTAAAAGATATGAAGAGTATATACGCACTTAAGTTATGAAAACTATAAAATTATTAAATAGCTTTCTGTCTATGGGAAAATGGATAAGCTTTACATATTATCTGAATGGAGGAATAAAGTAGGACAAGTATACTTTTATTTTCAATTGTAACACTATAACGACTAGTTGAAAAATAAACTACATTACTGTAAAACACGGAGAATAGGCGGCCTTTTATTTTACTATTTATTTTAAAACTTAACTATGATAGATTAAAAAATAATTAATTTTTAAGTTAAATCTTTAATAAAAGTTAAAAATTTTTTGGGGCTTTGCACCCCCTTTTAAAAAACAATAATACTGCTAAAAAGTTAATATTTGTGTTGCTTTTACTGCTTTATCTTTAACTCGGAAGCATAGCTAACAAGTTATGCTTTTGCGCTATTAATATTTAATTGCTTGGAGGTGAGTATAACTTTGTCTCAACACTTTTCACTGGGGCTGTAATCTTTGCCACACATATCTAAGATTTTCCTGTTACTATTTTTATCAACTTTTTAAAAAAGGTTCAAATAAAACAATCCCACGCCATCACTGAAAGAAGGTTAAAAAAATAATATGAGAGAATTGAAGTGCATTCAATAAAACAATCCTACTTAACTTTATAAAAGCATGATTAATAAGTTAAATCACTTTATTATTTAATATTAGGATGAAGACCAAACTAACTCAGTTAATAAGTATTCTAGCTAAGGTTGAAAGGAGATTTGGAGTTTTAACAATGACTATTTTAAGCACTCCACTAAGATAGGAAGCAAAAACGTCTACAGGCTTGATACCTTTTGGCACTGAGTAACAACGATAGTATGCTCCGCAATGTCTTTCTTTCTTATGACAAATAACTCCTCCCAAAAGTTCTTCTTTTGTGTCTTCGATCTTTTCAGCTATCTTCTTTACTATATTTCTGTCAGTAGCACATACTATTAAGCAGCATTCCTTAAGTTCAATAGAGATTTCGTCTTTAGTGAAACCAGGCAAATCTATCTTAAATATTATGTTTTTCTCATCTTCTAAAATATCTGTCAGTGGAGGCTTTTTGCAATGACTGGCCCGGCAAGGAAAGGAGGAATTTATAGGAAGAAGGTTGGAAAGTGGAGGTGGAAGCGGATTAGGAAGGGAAGGAGGAGTAACTTCAGGAATAGGAGGAGCCACTCCTGGAAGCACGGACATTGCTAAAGCAAAAAAATAGAGAAGTGACTGTATTCAAGTACAAGTATATTGATAAATTTCTAATTCATCTTATATACCCACTATTAAACAGAATTTAATTTTAAATGGAAGTGATAATCATCTTCAAAATTTTAAAGGATATTCTCTTAAATAAAGTTTATTTTTATATAAACATAGCCACCAATAAGTAAATGGCATACTATCAAAAACATATCCTAAAGTTATCTGTAACTTTAACTCTTTTGGGTGGTCCAGAACGTATAAATATTGGCTTATACTTACTAGTTGTTGTAAGATAAACCGAAGGCGATAAAATAGCTATTAAGTGGATAATACCCAGGTCACATAGTGTACCTACCGCTTAATTTATTATCCAGCCGCACTGTGTCGTTTAAAAATCTAAATAAAAAAAGTTTAGGTATCTTCACCCCCATTAAGACAGGAATAAACGATAAGTTAAAAAGCGGTATCGCAGTTGACATACATCTAATGCATTATTATACACAAGTCATATAATTTAAAAAAGGGTATAGATTAACAAAAAACACAATATATGACTTTTTTTTTAAGCGTTATCATTGAGCTTTGCGTTATGCATTATTTCAAATAGAAGTCACATGAATATAAAGCCTCATTTCCGTTTCGCCATTTTCTTACTTGTTTATAATGATGATTCATTAATGACAAAACTATTTAAGTAAATAAGCGTTTTATCTCACTCCATGTTTATATTTCTACGTGCGGACTTTTTAGGCTGAAAGCCATGTCATGATAATATGTCTATTTTAAAAACTTTTGAGTTTATTAAAGAAAGTAGGCATAGCTAAAACTTAACAAATTATGTTGATTATAAAAACGCCATGTTGAGATTTTACAAAACCCTAAGTTCTAACAATTTTTCGCAGTACATAATTTTAATGTTTTTAAGTTGAATTCTTAGTGTTTTTACGGTGTTTGATTTCTATTTTACCGGGATAGGTAGCTTCTCACATACAGAAATGATATCAGTGTAAAAAAAAATGTAAGCCTTTATTACAACCAAGCAAAGTAGAATTTTAATTATAGTAAAGTTTAAATAAACTTTTTGTATCGTCTAATCCCTTTTTGAATCTTTTTTAAGACAACCTACATAAGGGTCGAGTTCGTTGTTTTAAAAGTTTAATGGGCTATACTTCATTTAAAAACCTTCATGCTTTTGATCAGTGAAGAGCAAACTTAGCAAGAGAAGCGAAAAAAGTGATTTTATTATATTAAAGGCTGAAGAAGGGTAAAGAAATGAGATTCAGATATGCAAACCGTTAATTCTATTTTCATGCCCTTTGCGCGAAAGAAGATAAAGGCCTTAATGTCACATTTTTATTGGTTTTATTTACAGATAAATATTATGACGTTATTAAATAAAACGAAACTTAAAAAAATATTACTGCGTTTAAATAAAGTTTGCCTCGGTATAATTATTAAACCTCAGGGAGTACCCTAGTTGAAGATGCTTACCTGAGTAACTTTAAGAACTAAGGTGCTTTTATAGGGAGGCTGACAATTTTTTATATTTAGTCAAAGGAGACTGTTTAAGTTGTTTCCTCTTAGCTGGCCCGACATAAATAACATACGTTACGATAACTAACTATAAATATCTTTAGGTAAATCTGCTTCTTTTATGTTTTGAAGGGAAAAAGTACCTATTAGATTAATTTTTGTTGCTAGTCCTTTTTAGAAGAATTAGTAAAGGGAGTATTAAAACAATATTGACATTATGACAGTATTTGTTTTAATACTATTCCTTTATATAAGCAAATACTAAAGTTCTTAATGTAAATTTTAAGTGTTAAATAGTTTTCAAGAATGTTTTAAATAAATTTTAAAAACTTAAAATATAGCATAACATGATTTATCGCTCCGCATCTTAACTGTTAAATTTAAAGGGTATTTTTCTTATTTACTTTTTATTTTAATTTTATACTAAATAAATTTGTTAAACATCGAATTGCACTAGAGAAAGAGAAAAATAGGTCTTTAGTCTTCTCTATCTGATCAACTTCTTCATTTTATTAAGTATCTAGTTCTATAAAATATACTATATTTGAATTTGTAGTAATTTCCCACATTCCAATCGCAGATCTTTTACTTAGGTTACGATATATAGTGTAGCCACGGGCATATCGCTGGAAGACAAAACACTACAGTAATGGAATGACTCGCGCGCGACGTCTTTTTCATTATTGTTTTAATGTTATAGTAATGTCGAGCTCTCTAAATTTTTAAAACGAATTATTACCCATGTCTTAAGTCTATAGTTACACTAATTATGTTACTAGTTAAACAGAAATAATTCAATAGGTCTGGAGTAGTATGAAACATAAAATCTTTTGAGAAGGAATTATAAAGTATTATTATTCGATTATTGGTGCAGTTCTTCTAAATTTTTTATCTATTTCTCTAAAAAAAAGTTTCTTTGATAGATTGAAAGGCACCCTTTACTTTTTTGAGCTTTTAATTAACAAGTTACTATGCTGAAGCCACAGAAGCCAAAATAAACTATTATTAATAAAATATTAAGCATATTAAAGACAGCTAGCTTTTAGAGGTGACTGTAAATCTCCTACTGTTTTAAGTTAAAGAAAA